TGGGAATCAGAGGAAAAGGAGGTGGTGGTCAGGGCAGTGTGGGCGGTAGTAGGTGCCGGCCGAGATCTATCGAGAAACCTGGTCCAGGGCAGGTTCCAACATGTGACTCTTACCGGGCAGGGTTCTGGGGGGTGAAAGGGATGCTTAGGGAGCAGCAGGCTCCATCATGGTAGGCGTCCAAGAGCCGCTGCCGGTTTCCAGAGTCATAAATGGCATAGTACCTGTGGGGAGGACAAAAGGGCAGGTCTGTGCTTCGTAAAGGGACCCAACAGCTCTCAAGAGCGAGCTGGGCTGAGGCCAGCCCACCTCTCCCCAAACCCGGGGCCCGGGGACTTACTGCTGCAAGAAGTGCAGGACCAGAGTCTTCAGGGTCTCCGTTCCAAAATAGCTCCCCTGGGATCAAACAGGTGTTAGGGCTGCATCACTGATCCTGTCCTCCCTACACAAGTCCCAGCTCTGTCCCCTCGTCTCACCTTGCAGGGTGGCAACATCGTGGGGGCTTCAACGTCAAAGGCAATTGGCGGGGGTAACTCATGGCCGTCCTGCAGAGAGCGAGGCGGGAGTGTGAAATGGAGAAAAAAGGCTGGGTGAATAATAAAGTGGAAAAACTAAGAGTAAGGGGACAGAGGTCAAGTGTAAGAGACATGGAATCCTGACAGATGCCACTTTGTCAAGAAGCATTTTCCCAGGAAGGAGGATTATACTAGACTTTTGTTGGGTTTTCAAAGGGCTGCATGTCCCCAAGTTAATGGTCATACCATCACATTAGGCAAGACATTGGTGAGAGGTACTATGCTTGTTAAAAAAGCATTAAAAAAGTTATAAACTTACCAAACGTAGTAATTTAGGAAATCGTTCGCGAATGGCGCTGTCAAGAACGGGACAGAAGTCAGTGAAGCTTCAGAGCCATCGTGCCTCCTGGGCTGCTCTAGGAGCAAATACACCAACGCCCGAGGGGCAGCCCATCCCATTTTCCTCCTCCCCTCTCCTCCCAGCCTCTGAGCTCCAAGAAGCATGGCCCCACTCCCCACCCGGGGCGCCCGGAATGACTCCCTGCAGGCTGACTCTCTTCTCTGCCTGACCCCGAGCGCCACAGAGCAGCTCTCTCTGCCCAGGCTTGAAGCCCAGGACCTCCTTTCCCTCCCTGCCCCCTTACCTTCTACCTACTCACCTGTGCAGCCCCGGGAGGAGGGAATGGGGTGGGAGCCCAGGGGCTCCGCTGCCTCAAGAGGTATCCATCACTTCTGCCAGGTCTGGCTGTGGCCAAGACCAGAACACACCACAGGGATGGCACAGGATATTGGGGCAGGGAGATGAGCCAGGCGGGGATCAAGAGGGAAGGCCAAGGAAGTAGTGAGGGAAAGGAAAGGGCCAGAGAGAAAGGTAGGCTGGGACAGGGCCAGAGAGAGAGATGGGGGAGTAGAGAGAAAAAGAAGAGAAAGCAAAAGAACTACAAGGCATGGAAGTGTTTAGAAAAAAGAGGGAGAAGGGAAGAAGGCAGCATCCTGACACAGCCCTTTCCTTCAGCTGCTCCTTTCCCCTTTCTCCAAGGTAGAAATGGGAAACAAGTAAGCAGGGTGATGTGAGGTGTGCGAATGAGGGAGGGGCAGCGCCCTCCTGCAAGAGGTTCAGTTCTGTCTCCTTGGTAGCCTATGCCCCCGTGGCCTCCACGCCCAGCACCTGCCTTGGGCTCTCCTCGCCTGCTGGCGGGGCCCTGGCTCTGGTCACATCTCTTGGGGAACCCAGGTTTCTTCTCCAGGGAGAACCCAGCTCACACCACTGGGCGAGAGACAGACAGATCCATGGCACCAGCCACCACGAGGCCTCAACCTCAGTGTGAACAGAGAGCCCAGGCAACAGCTGTGGGCAAATGGACTGTGAGAAGAGGATCCCTCTTGGCACAAGGGCAAGAGGGGCCGATACAGGACAAGGAGGAACGGCCTTCAGCATGTAGGCCCGGGACAGGCTTTCTCAGCCCAGGATGTCAGGCTCTTGGCACAAGACAACGCCACGTATGGGGCATATACCAGGCACCTCCAGTCACGGCAGAAAAGGGAGGTGCCCTTCCTGGAACAGGAGGGTAGGGAGATTCTAGAAAAGGCTGTGTTCAGGAGAGAAGGAGAAAGCCCACAGAACCAGCAAACAAGTAGTCAGGTTAAAAAAAAAAGAAAGAAAAGAAAAAGGAAAGGAGATGTGGGCAAAGCTGGGACATATAGACAGACAAAAAGGAGGCACATGTGATCCTCCCAATGGACAGGTGGTTCCAGCTCAGGGCTGCACATCTGCTGCAGACGGGCACTGGTCAGGGTGCGCTAACTCGGCTCCCAGGGGTGACGGTCCCCAGGAGGGAGGCAGAGGCCACAACTGACCTGATGTAGGTCGACTGGTCTCGGAAGGTGTCACACAGTGTGTTTCCTTCGAGCCACAGCTCTTCCAGCTTCAGCCCTTTTATCTTGTCCAATTCCCGCTCAGATTTCAACTGCAAAGGTCAGGAGAAAAGGCAGGAAAGAGACCCTAGTAAGACAGCCAACTAGTGCCCACACCGCAGCCTCCGTCCTCATCCCTTCAATTCCTTCTTCTGCCTCTTGCCGCCACCAGGCAAGTCCTCTTCACCCTCTGCCTATCCCAAACACAACGCATGCAGGTCTCAATTCTCACCTCATTCCCAGAGAGGTTTAGGATCTTTAGGTTGGGCGCTTTCTGCACAATGCTGGACATGTCATCCAGCCTGTATAGCTTGTTACTGCTCAAGTTCAAGGACAACAGCTGTGGGAGAGAAGAGTTTAGAGGAAGCATCACCAGAGAGGGGATCAGACACATCTGCCTCCAAACCACTGTCTCTCCCACCTGCTTCTTCCTGCCTAGTAACGGGGCAAAGGCCTCACCTCAGGGATATTCTCCCCAATGATTCGCAGGGTAGCCACCATACAGCTTTTACGATTCAGGACAACATCAATGTTCTGGGCCACCAAATCTTCAGAAAAGAAACGCAAGTGTGAGAGGGTTTGCCTAGGCCAGCATTAGCACCAAACCACTCTCCAACCTCCCGCCTGAAAGATTCCCCTCTGCCCCCACCTATCTGAGAACTGCTGCCAACAATACCTGGGTCTAAACGGAGGCCCTTGAGGTCAAGCGCTTGTTGGGAGCCATCGTATCGTTTGCTCATGATCAGCTGCAGAGGAAGAGAAAGGCTCCAGTGGTTACTGGGGTTGTGTATTTGGGGTGTTGGGGGGTGGGCACGGGGATATGAGAACTGCTAGGACTGGGGAGGAAACGTGTGACTTGAAGCTGCCTCACCTTTAGCTGCTCTACTTGCTCTGGCTTCAGCTCATTCTGCACAGTAAGGGGCGGAGGAGAGGAGTTGATGATGATGGATATCTGCAGGGAAGACATAAAGGAAGGGTGGACTCTAGGGAAGCCTAAGTCCCAGGACAAAGACCCCGGACCCTGAGTACCAGTCCCTGTCTCCAGCCAAGCCCTTATACACACCCTTCTGTTATCCTGATCCAAAATCTTGTAGTTGATAGCCTTCAATGCAGAGGCAGTACTGGCGTCCTCAACAAAAAACTGGGCCCGGTTGTTTTCATAGTGAAACTGCAAGAGGAAACAAGAGCAGTCGACTTGGAGCCCAGAGCCCCTGGCCCACCTGGCCCCTCCCACAGCCACTCGGGCCATATCTTACCTCAATGGGGGTGAAAGGGACACTGCATTTGCTCTGAATCATACTTAGGAGCCATGCCTTGTCATATTTCCTGCCATAAGGAATCTACATGAGAGAAAGAGAAGGGAGCAATATGTAACTAAGGCTAAAGAGCAGATCCGATTTAGTGCTCCTTCATATAGCTTGCCAAGCTTGAAAAGATTTTCTAAAGAAAACACCAGTTAGCCCGTCTAGTGTGGCTCAGTGATTGATCAGGAGGTCAAGGTTCGATTTTTGGTCAGGGCACATGCCTAGGAGGCAGCCGATCAATGAATCTCTTATCATTGATGTTTCTATCTCTCTCTCCCTACCTCTCTGAAATCAATAAAAACATTTTAAAAAATTAAAACACCAAAAAACAAAGAAACCAACAAAAACAACAACAATAAAAAGAAAACATCAGTTAAAGGTTTTCTAACTCAAGCCAGACATGGATTTCTCAATCTCCCTCCTATCTGTTTATACTTATTATTCATCAAAAGAATCAAACTGTTGCCTGGACAGCATGGCTCAGTGGTTGAGCGTCGACCTTTGAACCAGGTCACTGTTTGATTCCCAGTCAGGGCACATGTCCGGGTTGTGGGCTCAATCCCCAGTGGGGGTTGCACGAGGCAGCTGATCCATGATTCTCTCTCATCACTGATGTTTCTATCTCACCCTCCTCCCTTCCTCTCTGAAATCAATAAAAAGTATATATTTTTAAACATTTTTTAAAAAAATATATTGATTTTTTACAGAGAGGAAGGGTGAGAGAGAGAGAGAGTTAGAAACATCAATGAGAGAGAAACATCGATCAGCTGCCTCCTGCACATCTCCCACTGGGGATGTGCCCGCAACCCAGGTACATGCCCTTGCCCGGAATTGAACCTGAGACCTTTCAGTCCGCAGGCCGACGCTCTATCCACTGAGCCAAACTGTTTCGGCTAAAAAGTATATTATTTTTAAAAGAATCAAATTGCTTGATTCTAAAAGTTCCAAGATACTATCTATAACTTGTCTGCCCCCCAGAGAAGTTAAGAGACCCCAACCCGCACAACTGAGCTTGAGCCAAATGGAGACATCCAGAAGTTACACCACCGCCCCTCAACCAGTCATCACGCTTCCCTTTAGATGCCTCTCCTTTCCTGGCAATCCTGCCAGTCGCTTCCACTCCTTTTCGGAACCAGCTGCTCTAAGATACTGATCCTTAGGAGAAAGGGTGGATGCCTGACTGTGGAGTGAACAGCTGAGAGGACTGATTTTGTGGTGTGTAGAGTCAACACCTTCGCTCTGAGCCCAGCCCCCAGCCCCCACTTCCCCTGCACCATCTACTTCCCAGATACTCACTGTAATCTTAAACCAGTTCTTCGAGGTCCCATCCTGGCTGTTGCCAGCCCCTCCTCTCTGTGGAGGAACTCTGTCTCTCCGCACAGTAACGTGGATGCGGTCTCGATCATGCCAATTATCAACCCGCCGGTTGGGTCGCGCAGCATAGGGGGTGCTGTGGGGAAGCCGAGAATAAGACATCGCAAATATTCAACCATTCGGCTGGCCCTGGCATTTCTCACTCTTAGGTAGAAGAGAGATGACTTGGAGTAAGAGGGCTGTGTAAAGGAGGTCACTGAAGTCAGACCACTACGGGCAAGAGCAGCACCATGTACTGAAGGCGGCTCAGTACACGGACCATAACTGACCGCCTGAGGGGTGGAGGGAGGTCACCATCCAGTCACTGAGGGGAGCAGTAGACCCCGAGGCTGCGCGAAAGCCGCCTACTTACTATCGTACTCGGGGAACATCTTGGGCATCGCTCATCGCCACATCTCTGTCATCGTCCTCAAGGCGGGGCGTCCGCACGCCGGCACCCCCTCTTCCAGACCTGCGGCTCCCCTCGCATTTCCACCGGAAAGGACCCCGGCCCTTCTTCCTTCTCTGGGGGAAGCTAACGCGATCATCGTGCTCTGCAGTGGGAAACAGTACAAGTTAGAAAAGCATCGCTGGTCTAGCTGCCCTGCTGTGACCGCCGCCTCGCTCCACGCAGGCCCCTCGCTGTCCAGAGAAAGCACTCCTCTGTGGGGGACCGCCTCGGGGAGCCACTGGAGGCTGCAGGGCTTTTGAAAAATAAGCAGAAGCCGGAGCCGCAGGGAAGGGAAGCAGATGGGGAAGGGTGTGATTCAAAGTGGAACTGGACACACGCAGACCTGAGTCCCCTGAAACCTGCTTTCACGCAGCCCCCCACCCACCAGCCACAACCGCACAGCGGCTCCAGCCAACAGCTGCTTCCGCCCAGCAAATGCCGACAAACACGGCCAGCGCGAGTCTCTACGGCCTGATCTCCAACCGCCCCTCGGAGGGAGCCCTTCGCCTCTTCGGCCAGAAGACAACCCCAGCTGCGGCTCCAGGGGCAGCGAGTCTTGACCCGGGTCCTCAGGGACCCAGGACCCCCCCAAAGGGCCTCACGCGGCACTGCGGACAGTGCGCTTCAAGAAATGGCCCCAGAAAAAGAAGTGAACAGAAGGCCCAGCTAGAGAACTTCCTCCAGGCCAGGCAGTAGGATGCTCCAGGCACAACGTGCACGGCCTCATGCTCACACTCACACACATTTACTCTCACACACACGAGGGCACGAACTCAGGCGGCCGAGGCTGCTTCGACTGCATTAGGGGTGGAAACGCGGCCGAGCTTAACTCTCAAGTCCGGTGTAGCCACGCCGGCCTGCAGCCTGGGCTGCCAGCGAGCTCAGCCCACGCCCGGGCCCAGCAGGGCCGCCACCCAGGCCCAGGAGACGGTCCGGTCCAGCGCCGAGGTGGGTGTTAAGTAAATTGTTTTGCCGAAGTCAAAGCCGCAGGAAGCAGGGCAAGGCCACTGGACGCGACAGATAATGGGGCGCAGGCAGCCGAGCGGGTCCTGACTCACATCAGAGAGTCCGGCCGCGGCGGCGATGACAGGGAGCCACGGCCCAGCGCTCAGAGGCA